GGAATGTTCATAGCAGCATTATTCACAATAGCCAAAATATGAAAACAACCCAAATATCCATCAACTGATGAACGGATAAACACATTTGTGTTATATCCACACAATGGAATATTATTCAGCCATAAAAAGAAATGAAGAACTGATACATGCTGTGACATGAATGAACCTTTGAAAACATTATGGTAAGTGAAATAAGCCAGACACAAGAGGCCACATATTGTATGATCTCATTTACATGAAATGTCCAGAATAAGCAAATCCAAAAAAATAGAAAGGGATTGATGATGGCCAGGGGCTGAAGGTATGGAGAATGGGGAGTGGCTGTCAATGGGTATGGGGTTCTTTTTGGAGTAATAAAAATGTTCTGGAATTGGGTAGTGGTGATAGTTGCACAACTCTGCGAATATACTAAAAAAAATTGCATTGTACACTTTAAAACGGTGAATTTTATGATATGTGAATTATATCTTCATTTAAAAAAAGAATTTACGTACAGTGATGAGTTCAGTCTTCTGCCAGAAGGAACCCACTCTGAGAAACTAACTTTAATTAAAAGCGTCTGTCTGATTGCCTGTGATCCCTGTCTTCAAGTTAAGGTACGACTTGAGTACCTGGGCATCAGACCTAGCAATACTTTCTGTTTCCCTGCTAAAATCAAAACATGTTTCCCAAAAACTACAAAATCATTTTCAATATGTCAAATCTTTGCAGGGCAAAGGTGTTGTGATATAACATGAAGTATATTTGGTCTTTGTCCCTGGTGTCTGTCACAGAGCTGCTGAAACCCTTGGAATTTCCTGAGTGACAGGAATGTCTTTTGCTATTCATAATGAGCCCCTTTTTTTTTTTTTCCTTTTTGTCTTTTTTCGTGACCGGCAACGGATCGCAACCCTCANGCGGGAGCGCCGCCGCACTCCCAAGCGGCGCACTGTAGCAGTGCGCCACCAGGCCAGCCCCATAATGAGCCCCTTTTGATCACACCTGATTTATGCTAATAGAGTGACTTAGGGCAGGGCCTCTAGATAGCCTCAAAATAGGGCTATCACCAGAAAGACCAAGTGATTAGAGGGTGGGAACTTTCAGTACAACTCACTGACCAAGGCAGGGAATGGCTGCAGAGCAAGCTCTATAAAACTCTTGAACAACAACATTTGATGAGCTGCCGGGCTGCCAAACACATGAGGTGTTGGGAGGGTGGTACACCCAGAGAGGGCACAGGAGCTCTGCGCCCCTTCCCGCATACCTTGTCCTGTGCCTCTCTTCACCTGCCTGTTCATCCGTATCCTTTGTAATATCTTTTATAATAAACTGGAAAATGTAAGTGTTTCCCTGAGTTCTGTGAGTTGTGCTAGCAAATTAGTCAAACCCAAGAAGAGGATTGTGGGATCCCAGATTTATAGCCAGGCGGTCATGAGTATAGGTGACAAACTACTACTTGGAATCGGCATCTGAAATGGAGGCAGTCTTGTGGGACTGAGCCCTAAACCCGTGGGATCTGACACTATCTCTACGTATAAAGCATCAAAATTGAATTGAATGATAGGACACCCAGCTGGTGTCCACTGGAGACTTGCTTAGTGTGTGGGGGGAAACCGCCCCATATCTGGTCACAGGAGTGTGCTGAGTGAGCATATGATATACAGGCACGGATCCGGGACACACACATCACAAGGAGCCTGTGCCCATACAGAAACAGACGGGGCCATCGTTCTTTCATCTGTGGTCAGTAATTTCCTGGCTTCCAAAAAGCACCTCTCTCTTTAAAACGATTATTTAATTGGTTGAGTACATCATCTTCATGTAATGTTTTGCAATTTAGAAAACCAGCAAGAACAAATTGCTGCTCTTGGACAGAAATGGAAAAAATAAAAGAACAGTGTCATGAGGGTCTCTTTGTTAGGTATGCAGCTCAGGAAAGATTTTAGCAAATCTTCCAACTGGGAAGAGAAGGGTGAGCTGTGTAATTGCTCATTCTCAACACAACCACACCTCCAGAAGGACAAGGAAAAAAACAGACATCCAAGCCGGACAGCCCTGGGTTCAAATCCCACCCTTCCTACTTTCTGGCTCTGTAGTCCTAGGTAAATGACTTCAACTCTCTGAGCCTCACTTTACTTCTCTGTAAAATGCAAATAAATACATCTGCTTCACTGAACTGTTTTAAGAGTTAAATACCTTTAGCACCACATCTGTTGTGAAGAGAGCATTCCATAAGTTGTGTTGGTGGTTGTTAATTATCCATAATCTATGTTTAGATTTCTCTCTTCCCACAAGGAGCAGAGCAGGTGGACAGTATTCCATGGGGGGTATGTTGACTGCAAGTCCCAGTTTGTTGCTCTCTGAACCACAATGACCTGGGTTGAGGTGTCAGAGTGTAGAGCAGGGGCTGTGGGCATTGGCTGTGCATTAAAATCACCAAGGGAGATATAAAAAAATACCGACACCAGGATCATTGCCCCAGAGATTCTGTTTGTACTGGCCTTGGACGGGGACAGCAGCAGTTTCCAAAAGGCCCCAGGTGATTCTGATGTGCAGTCAGGGCCAAGAGTCACTGATGTAGCGAACAGAGTCCCAAACTGGGAATCAGGAGACTTGGTTCTAGTTCCAGCCCCACCCCTCACTTGCTTGTGATCTTGGGGAAGTAATTTCCTCCTTCTGGGCCTCAGTATCCCCTGCTGTGAAACACAGGCTTCGAGCTACTAGTCACTGATGTAGCGAACAGAGTCCCAAACTGGGAATCAGGAGACTTGGTTCTAGTTCCAGCTCCACCCCTCACTTGCTTGTGATCTTGGGGAAGTAATTTCCTCCTTCTGGGCCTCAGTATCCCCTGCTGTGAAACACAGGCTTCGAGCTACTATGGTCTCCCAAGTCCCCCTGTAGTCTAACCTCAGCCAGTCTGTTCATGGTTCAAGGTCAATGACTGGTGAAGAATAGGTCAAAAGGACTCACCTGATAGTATTTTTGCTCCTCGCTGAAGGCTACCAGGATAACAGAGATAAACAGATTCAGTATCACAAAAGTCATAAAAACGATGCAGGACCCAATCAGGAAGGAACCGAGAACTGGGCTATGGTCCAGGACCTGTCAGGAAGAAAGACAGGGTCATCCCTGATGTCCTGAGTCCTAGAGGCCATCCCCCACACTGGAACCCTCAGAGGGAAATTTGCCGTCAGAGCTAGGCAGAGCCTGGAGCCAGGAAGGTCCCCTCTGCCTGGGGGCTGGGAGTGCGGGCAGAGCTCTCCGGAGCTGGCCGGGAGAGGGGATGGGTGGCACTCCCACACCCCACGCCCCACTGCCCCCTCTGGAGACCTTCAGCACAGCCCTCCCCTGAGTAGCCAGAGCCTACTATTCCTCTGTAAGCAGGGATTCCCCAGGTGACCTGTGGGCTCCAGCATGGGGCTGTCTGCCTAGAGGGAGGGGAACACTTTTATCCTTCCAAAGCTGCCCTGTGCTTGCCAAGCCACGGTGATGGCACAGAGGTGGGTGGGCGGGGAGTGCTTTTTCTATTTTTCAAAAAGGCTTGGTGCAGATTGCAGTGTCCTCCCCCCCCTACCCCATTACCTCCTCATAGTTGAAGATTCCAAGCTGAAGGCTGATCATAGTTTCGGCAGCATCAAAGAGAGTTTTGTAGGAAAGGAGTTTCCAACCAAATATTAAGTTTGACTGTCATGGAAAGAATCCTCATGAACAGGGGAAGAAACTGTGAAGCCCCCCCAAAGCCTGTTGCTTGAAAGAAGGTGGTCTGTGTCAGCCACCTCCTTGGCCTGGCCAAACTGTCCGTAAATACAGGGGCCTGCAAGTGGGTGTGTACGCCTGTGTAAGGTTCTATATGGGATGCATTTGTTTCTCTCTGTGGGCCTGTGTGTGCGAGGCCACACACGTATGCCCATGTGAGAGTGTGCATGTGTACTGTGGGCATCAGAACCTGCACACACATGCTTGTGTGTGTGTGTGCATGTGTGGTGTGCTCCGGAAGTGCCTGCCCAGATGATCCAGTCCCTAGTCCAGGACCTTGGCTGTGCTCACAGGCAATTGGTGACGCCCATGGTTCCCATCATAAACCTGGCTCCCCTTATCTCTGGTCCTTTAGCCCAATCCTGACGCATCCCCCACTCCAGCTCCTTTCCCCAGTCTCACCCTAGTCCCATCCAGTCCCTCACCTTCCATCATCCTCTGATCAGACCATCCAGCAGCCCATGCACCCTCGTCCCAACTGTAGCCCTAAGCTGCACCCCATTCTGCATCCATGCACCTCAGCCCTGTCCCCCTTCCATCCCTGGCCCCACTCCATCTTCCCATGGTTTCATCAAAAGCATCTTGTGCAAACGCCCTAATTCAAGTGGATTTACTCAGTTCTCCATCAGCAGTGCATGGACTGCAGAGACAATGCAGTGTCCTCTGGGACCAGAAGTCACCGACTCAGAGCCAGGGCATGCTGGGCATTCTCTGACACGATGACCCTGGGAAAGTCTTGGCAAGGGGGAAGTTGTGGTGGGGGAGGCCCCTGCCCAGGAAGAAGTCCGTCATCTGTCCAACCCAACTCCCCAGAGCAAGGAGGTTGGGGCCTCCAAGAGTCCAGTTTCGTGACTGAGTCTCTGAGCAGCCATCTGGACCAAAGGGCAGTAGCCTAGTGGGTGAGTGCCTGAGCCCCAGAGGCACACCGAGCACTCCCTCGTGCTGGCACTTTCAAAGACAGGTGTCACCAACTGGCTGTGACCATAGCAAAGGTCCTGGACAAGGTCACCTGGCAGGCACTTCCAGAGCACACAACACACACACACAGGCATGTGCATGCAGGTACCAATGCCCATGGGAGTACCTGTGCACTCTCACACAGGCACATGTGTGTCCTTGCACGCATAGGCCGACACTGGGGTGGGGGTGCATATTTGGATGGAGATCATGATGTGGCAGGGGGATCAGAGTGAAGGAGAGTCTTTGTTTCTCACAGAACTTGATGATAAAAAAGAATTGAAAGTTTAATGTTTTGGTTTCTTTTCCCAGTCACCGAAGAGGTGTGATTGTCAAAATGCTGAGTGTTAAGGGGCTGAATGAAGCGGCATTGGCCTTCCTCAGTTTGTGCATCATGCCTCGGGAACAGGCACCGGCATGGCCTGTGGGCAAAGCCCCCTCACTTCCCCAGCTGTGCCTCAGCCCAGGCATGGGGCCTCCCAATCCATACCCTGCAAAGTGGGAGAGCTCCGTGCATGTCTGTGATCTACCCTGTGCCTTCTGAACAATTGCACGTCAGGAGAAGTGGCACATCCAGGCAGGGTCCAGACGCAGAAGGGAGTCTTTCCTCCTGGGAGGTAGGCCCTCTCTGTCCTGGAGGCTATGCCTCCTCTCTCCCACCTGACTAAGGTCTCCAGCCTTTGCCATTCGAAGTGACCAGTTCAATAGCTCCCAGATAAAAGACCCTGGACTCAGAAGATCCACCATTTCCTTCAGGTTCCCAGGGTCTCCCTCACCCTAATTGTCTGTTTCCTACCAGGAAGCCTTGGCTTCCATGGAGAATAGCTCTGTGGTTTTCCCAGAGGAGCCACTCACCACCATGGAGTAAGCCAGGAGCATGATAATGATGACAATGACAAAGCCTGAGATGTCACCCCAGGCACGGCGTAGCGCTGATGTGATCATGTTCATTTTGGGATTCAACCTGAGCAGATGCCAGAGCTTCACTGTGGACAGAAGAACCAAGATGGCAATGACGTAGCCAAGGGCGGCATCGGCTGCTGCTGTCTCACTGAAGCTGATTCCCCTGTGGGACCAAGAGGGACCAAAATGGGAAGGCTGGTCTCAGAGACAATGAGCGCTTCAGCCAGAGCTTACCTGGACGTAGGTTAGACTTACGATGTCCTCAGAGGCCATCATGTCAAGAAACAGGTCTGGGAGACAGCTGTCCCAATTCCCCCAACGAGGTGATGATGATGGTGGTGACAGTGATGATGATGGTGGTGATGATGAAGATGATGGTGGCCATGGGGCCTCAGTGGCTAGTTCAAGGGGCCATTAACTATCAGTCTTGATGAATGGCTGCAGAGCTATGGGAGAGTGACAAAGGAGTCCTCCTCCCAGGGTCAAAAGGATGGAGGCAAGGGAGTTTGTGAGCCTCCCTCTTCCTGCCTAGATGTCACTAAATGCCACCTCCTCCTGCACACTTGTCTGAGTGTGTGCCATGGCTGCCCTTACACTTAAAGGAAGGAGGATGTACCATCAGGCTCTATGCTAAGTGAGAGCCTCATCTGTACTGTCTCGTTTGAACTTCAGAACTCCCGGATGAGGAAAGTTTTGCTACCTCCATTTTACAGATAAGGACAGAGAGTCACAAGGCACAAAGTCACACAGCAAGTAACATAAATAGTGACACAGCTTGTGAGTGGAAGAATGAGAGTTGGAATCCAGGTGTGTCTGATTTCAAAATCCAGGTTCTGCCCACCGCCCCATCCTACCCTCCATAGGAGTACAGAGTTCAAATTCTGAGTCTTGCATTCTTACAGTTCTTGCTGTGTGACCTTGCCCAAACAACTTAACCTCTCTGAGCCTTATTAGGAATGATTTTCTCATTTGTAAAAAAGGAATAATGATACTAACATCTCTTAGAGGTCGTGGGAAAATTAAAGCAGGTGAGATAGTGCTTTTAAAGTGGTATTTTTGTGAAAGTGTATGACATCCAGCAATAACTCAGTAAATATTAGCTATATCTATAAAACGGGTGACTGAATCAAAAAGCACAATGATTCAAAGTAAGGAGGGGATCCTGGAGCTATAACAGCAAGGTTTAAATTACTTCTCTGCCACATTTTAGCTGTGTGGACTTGGGAAAGTCACATTACCTCTCTGAGCCTCGATTTCTTTAAGTGGGGCGATGAGAATGTCTACCTTCATCTGTTCTTAGGAGGATTCACTGAGTTAATACATCCCACCAAGCACATAGTGGATACTAGGTAAATGGTAGCAGAGGTGGGATTACTGGGGTGCTAATACTTGCAAAGTCCATCCCCCAAAGGCTGGAAAGGACCTAAGCAGGATGCCACATGGCTCCACGTTTTGGTAAGATTTGCAAAAGCAATACATTGTTATATTTTGTCTTTAAGAGTCCTCTGCAATTGTATATGCTTCAGGCCCCAAACCTGAATCGAGGTGGCAGCTATAGTTATTTCTACTAGGGGTGCCTCTTGATCTGATTTCCAAAGCCTCCCTCCGATTCCTGGGCCACAGACAGAGCTGGAGGAAGGAGGGAAGCTTAGGGGACGTGGGGGCCTCAGAAGACAGCCACTTACTCCTCCTTGTGGTTCCGGTAGTGCTGGATGTCACGCTCTGCCAGGATGGCTCTCTTCACAAACACCGCCAGGGCGCTCCAGCTGGCGAGGATGATGGCCAGCTCCAGAAGGTTCCACATACTGCAGAAATAGCCCCATTTCTGCTTCCTCATGAGCTTACCCTGGGAAAGGAGCCCGAGGTTCTGCTGAAGGCTGTGTCCACAACTGCCTCTCCCCCACGCTGCTGCTCTCCCCCTCCCCTCCAGCCCAGGTGGGCCCTCCAGCAGGGGCTTACAGATCCTGGGGAGGCTCGTGAGGCCCTGGCCCCACAAGCATAGAGTGTCTGGGAGCCTCTCCCAAACTTGTACACGGACCCATCTGCTCCCGTCACTAACCCCAGCTGCGAGATTCGTAAGAGTAAGTACAATATCCAATAAGAAAAAAAATTTCAATTCTCTCTGGTGCAGAAAAGGGGGGAGAAGGGAGAGACTCTCTCTCACCTCCCTCACTTTTTTTTTCTTTTTAGGAAGCTTGATGGTACAGGGACCTTGGTGTTGGCAGCACCGCGCTCTAACCAGCTGATTGACTGGCCAGCCCGCACCCCTCACTTTTTGTAGAGCATTTACTTAAGAAAACTTGTAACTGCAAATGCTTTCTCTGATCCATTGAGATTTTTTAAAAAGCTAAAGAAGCTTCTTGCCAGTTTAACAACACAGCAGTGTCTTTCTCCAGGACATGGGAGCCCTGACTTCGAAATGTAATTATCGAGGAAGATGGAACAGCCCAATCTCCCAGTTTCCCTGGGAGCCAAGGAGCCTAACGCTGCTGCGTGCACAACTCCAAGGTGCAAAACTACCTCCTGTCATTTTTCCTTTTTTTTTTTTTTTTTTGTCTTTTTCCGTGTCCGGCAACGGATCACAACCCTCAGTGCTGCCCCCGCACCGGACCGGGGACCAGCAACGGGACCGCGGACCAGCAACGGGACCGCAACCCCCGGCACCGCCCCCGCGCCTCGCTCAGCCAGTGAGCGGGAACCGGCCCGTATGTGGGATCCGAACCCTC